TGAACTGACTTTACCATATTATAGCTTTGCACTATCAATACTGAATTTAAATGTGTAAAATTGGATAAATTGAATCAATTGGGAGTCATAAAAGTCATAAGAACATTAACTAAACTGAATGATAATGACATACTATTGAATCTGTCATTATTATCATTTTAAAAAATGACAAATGAAAATATGTTATCGGATTTCTTTCTTTCAAAATGACAGACAGCAACAAAGTCTTGCAACCGGAGCTGCAGACTCCACTGCAGGTCAACTCCCAATAAAATATGAACAGTGTTTTTTTATTCATTTATTTTATTTCTAAAGCCAACACAAGGTAAATGGACAAACATTTCAGGCTGTGAGTAAAGCAGCTTAAGTAGAGTCGGACAGAAGGACGAGTTCGTCAACATGTGCAGAATTTAACCCTTTGAAGCACAAGGTGAAACTGAATGAATGAAAGAGACAATACACTGAACAGCTGGGGAGAAACTCACACAGCAGGTCCCAAAGTTATTTACTGGGACTCACAAAGTAAGCCTTTCCTGGAAAAGTCAAAACCAGATTATGGCCCTTTTGAAGTCACAACTAAACTGGAAGACTCATCTACCAAATGGTCGTCTCCTAATTAACTGCTTTTATAAGACAAGTTTGAAGAGTTAGGAAATTTACAAGCATCCGTTTTGTATTTCTTTCCCTTTACAGCACGGACATGACTGAATTTCTCCATTGTTCCGTCTCTTTCAATTGTTACGCAACGTGGACACGCCAGCCAACAAGCCACTCAGACATACAGAGACAGACCTCGGGATGTTGCAACTTGTGCCACGGCTATCATTAGCTTTTATGAGACTAAGTGCCAGACTAGGCAGAGCGCTGTCAGGGAAAATCCGTCGATGGACCCTCCAGCCCCTCCAGTATCTCTCTACCATCTGTCTAGCTGCCGCTACTGGGACTGAGGGAGGAGAGATATGAAAGTCAACGATACTCAGTCCAAAATGCTAATTACAAGCAGAAACCAAATTTTTTAACTGACTGAAAAACTCTGAAAAACATTTCTGCAAAGCCCCTTAAAAATAACATAAACCCCAAACGGCTTCTAATGACATAAAATCAGAAAACCCACAATTAACATTGTTTTCCAACAATTTGGAGAAAATGAAACAAAAGTGGAAACTAAAAAGTTTTCAAAGACAAAGTAGTAAAACTAGCATCTGCATTATATGATCTACCGAGACAATTAATAATCTGTCAGCAATTTTTTTTTTTTTTTTTTTTTTCAAAAGTTTGGAATAGAAACTAGCTTGAATTAGAGAGAGGACAGAGAGTCAGAGGAGTGGAAATAAAAACCTGAGGAGAAACTGACATCATCATTTTCACATTAGAGTCGATACCATCTGTTCACCTTCAGCTAATGTTGCTGAAGAGGAAGGAATGGGCAGATGGGAGGAGGGAGAGCAGTATGGAGGTCTGGATCTGGGGTGTCTGCTCTGGCGTTTCTTCTTATCATTTATCCTTCTTTCCTTGCTTTCTGGGGCAACTTTGCGTCTTTAATTCCTCCTTGACTCCTGTTATATCAGTAACGACCACTAGGAGGTGCTATTTATTATCACCACTTTGTTCCAGCACATTGACAAATATTGCTGCAAATGTTGAGACATTACTGAATATTTTCCTGGATTTTTTACTCCGCGAAACGGTTATTTTTGATTTATTACGAGCAACGACATTTTAGTGAGATTACATGATGGCATAATTTTGCCAGTTCACTTGTCTCAAGGTGTGAGGCAGTCAAAGTGGCTTTCAGCTCCAGAGGACACAAAACAAACATGACAAATGCTCTCTGTGTAATAATTGCAAGCTGTTGCGACATGTTTGTGCATCGACCTTTCATGCCTGGAGAAAACACACATCTCTCAATATAATTTCCAAGACACAAAGAATACTTCATTTGTTTCCTATTCCATGTGTTGTGAGCATTTTACAAAAAAAAGGAGAGCGTTGCGTTTCTCAGGTTGTGATTATTTCATGTTCAGAAGGTGGTGAGTAAAATTAATATTCATCTGTGCTGAATGGGATGTTTGGACTCTTCAAATATAGATCCAATGATACTTATTAACCTCTAGAAAAGATGTGCAAACACCTTAATAGACAATATTTTATTAAGATTCGTCTTTTATTGTGGTGGCATAATCTCAGAATTATAATTATGGACATGTGAGTGTTGGATAAATATCATAGATTACAAAATTAACATTTCCAAACGCAATGTGAAGAGTGGGTTCATGGAACCACTGAGTTTCCATAGCAACTGTTCCTGCTTCGGAGGCAAAGTCGAAAAATATTATTTTGCTCCTACCAACACAAATGTAAAGATATTGAGTTTGCTGTACTTGAAACTACGAATTTATTGGTTGGAATAACATAAAAGATTCAGCAATACTCCAGGTTAGTTCATAAATAAAAAAAAAAGAATGAAGAATGAGTTAGAGAGGTTCTGGTGAGAGGATTGATCAAAGGCCCCTCTCTGTTTGCTCCAGCCATGAGAAATGTCGAATGAAATACCAAAGTGCTTTCCTAAAGACAAAAGAGATTTGTCCAAAGCCCAGTTTTTTTCCCTTACATTAAAGCAGAAATTTTGGACAATTTATCGCTGCTGTAATTAAACATCAACATATGAGACCAGATGTCAAAAATGCTTGCGGTGCAAAAGAGTAGGCGTGACTAATTAAAGGTTTCATTTTTGAGAAGCATAACTGTAAATGTGTCAGTAAAGTTTCTGAAACTTTAAAAAGAATAAAAGTGGCAGCATCTACTCCTCTTTTTTACGTCACTAAAACAAACTTCTTATTTTCCTTTTTGTTTTCAGACCAGATAGCGTTTGCCACTATTAAATGATTGCATCAGCAACGTGGAGATGTTTTGACAGATCAAATAAGTCAAAATGCCAAGGCAGGTTTACTTATGTGTTACATCAGCCAAAAATATTCTTAAATTTGAGTCGAGCGAACGCCCCACACAGAGGCCATTCGGCCTTGATGCGTCCATCTGAGGTTTGAGCCCCGACCGAGACGTTTGCTGCAAGTCTTCTCCAATTCGCTCTCTGGCCACTTCCTGTCTAATGCCTGTCAAGAAAAGCTAATAGTGCTACAAAAATATAACTTGCACCTTCAGGTCAATAATTTACTGTGATGAATGTCTTGGTACCAACCAGACTCCGCTGACGCAGCGGGTGGACAGGGCCCGCGGCATAATCTCTGAGCCTTGCTGCATGAAGCCTCCAACTGGGAACCACAGACTGTTTCCCAGTGTGTACTGGTTCTCCAGGATGTCCCGCCGCTCCCGTAAACACGGGTGAGGGTTGTACCACTCATAAGGACTGAGCCTTAAAGAAAGAAAGAGAAAGCTACGTATTTTAAAAAGTATGCAATACCTTTTAAAGGGATACATTGGTGATCAGTTAAGGCAATTTTTTCCAAAAAGTCTATAGTCAAATAATAGGGTCACTTAAAAACATTGAAACCATCGAAAATAGAAGCAAGATGTTGCTCTTTTGTCTTATTTAAATGTTTATCAAACACATTTTGACATTAGACAGGGATAACATCAGAAAAAAGGATGTCATGTATTAAATTTTTCAAAAAAAACTTTATTCCTATGGTGAAAATCAGGGATAAAAAAATAATCACATAAGATGAATTGTTTGGTTAAAAAAAAGTACATATCAGAAAAGAAGTTTTCATCAAATAGAAAAGGCTTTCCAACCTTAACACAAAAATACTAGAGAAACCTTCAGCGTTTTGATCAGAAGTAATTCTTCCACCAGTTTTAGTAATTTGTTGAGGCACCGAAGCAGCAAAGCAGTACCTATAAGCACCCTAAAACTCACATTTGGATTTTAGTATGATGTACTTTTTCTCTCTGCAACCTACAGAAAATGTTTCCTGAAGTCTGAGATCATTTATGTTCTTTTGCCTTTCAGCTCTCAAATGGATTCCATTTTTTGCCATCTCTGTTTTTATTGTTTAATTATGAGTTATCCAGTGGAGGAAGTGAGGCCTTCATTGCTTTAAATGTTGCTCTGGGTCCTTTAGTGACCTCCTGGATAAGTCATTCACATGCTGCACAATACATTTTGTAGTGCTTCACTGCAGTTCACTGGATTCCTAAAGCCTTAGAAAGGGCTTTCTAACTCTTTCCTGAGGAATAAATATTTATCTTTCCATGTATTATTTCTTTCTTTTTTGGATTGTGGCATTTTAGATTACTTCATATTGTGGTCTGGTGCTAATCATGTGTAGCTGGTGGCACTGAAGCAAAAAATGTGGTTTTGCACAGTTATTTCACAATTTAACATGGGAACAATCAATTACTCAGACCAAGATGTTTTAGATACCAATTTCCCTAATAAATGTAATCATTATTACACTTATTATATAAATGCTCCATTAAAATTTGTTTGATGATTTGAAACATTTCAGTACGTCAAAAAAGCAGAAGCATTAGGACGAATGCTGATTCACAGAAGAGGAGAAACAATGAAAAACTTGAAGCGTCATTAAACAGCTACCAAACTCTCATTATATTCTTTGGCCTAATGGGTGCAATTGTAACATTTTTAGGCACAAAAACATGAAAGCAAAATCTAATACCACTTCCCTAATCATTTCTTTTTCCGAGTGGAATGTGGTTCGGTTTTTCATATTCGAGGTTATTTTTCTCGTTTTAGACTTCTCTTTGTGATTGCGATTAGAAATGAACCCTCGGGAACCCAGTAAGACAAGCCCATTGAAAAGTTCTTCAGAAAGTAAGAAACAGGCAAAACTGAAATCATTAGAAAGGTGTCATACCTGGCGGCGAGGAAGAGAACACAGCTGACAGCAAGGTAGGCCAGCAGCATGAAAAGCCAAACAGCAGGAGAAAACGGGTCGAGAAAGGAAAAGTAACCTGGTTTTCGAGCCTGAAAGAGAAACACAAAGAAACGCTCTGAGGATTGACAGCATTGTTTTCCCTCTTACTTTGCCTTCATGTGGTTAGCCTCAAAGAAAGCAGTGCTGAGGCTAAGTCTCACAAAGCCGTTTTGTCTGACTGAAGTCCTGCCTTGATCATGACCTGCAATCATTTAGAATAAAAACCAGCACATCTACACTAAGATGTAATTTTATACCACTGGATGGAAGGGAAAAATGTAACGGTAGGCTAAAGACAGAACCTTTATTGAGGTCTTTACAATTTGTTTCTACCTTAGTAATCTCTACATTTTATCTTCGTTACCTGATGACATCAAAATAAGTTGGAGACAATGTCGTGCCTCAGTCTCTTTGAACAGAAGAGCAACAACACAATAAGTGCTGATGAATTGGAAGCAGCAGTAAAAATTAACTCAGGCTGTTCAGCACCAGGGGGCAAGGGCGCTGATCAACATGGAGATGTCTTCACTAATGTGTGTGCCAGTCAACAGCTTAGCCAATTAAAAAGATTACAATCTTTTAATGTGCTCATAAGCTTCGTAGACGCATGCAGCATCTCTCTGTATGTGTTTCTAACGTGTATGAAGCAGATTATCTGCTGCCAGACACAAATGTATTGTATTGATTACTTTGCAAATCAAAAAGCTAATCTGACATTAAATTACTTGCTTTTGTTTGTTTGTTCTCAGAAACTTGCTCAAGAAATTACAGTGAGTTAATTAAATGTTGCACATAGAAAAAGAGTATTTTTTAATTTTTATTTTTAAACGGCACACAAAAATCTACATATTGGAAGAAAATATATAATTTATTGTGAACATGGAAGAGTGTATCTTAAAACAAAGAGATAAAATGTGACTTATAGCTTTCAACTTTAAAAGCTTAAACTATTTATTGTTGTAAATTGGATTCAAATTCTAGTTTATGCAGCTTAAATTAAATTGCAGGGTCTGAAATTAATCAACGAATCACATTTTAATCATATAAAACCATATACTGAAAAAATAAGTATTTCAAATGAAAAGCCACTTTTGATGCTTAATTATTGAATAATTATACAGATAAGCTCAACAAAATACATATTCATTGTTTTTTAATGTTATTTAATGGTGCAATGTGCTGCTTTATCTATTCAGCTTTCAAACATTACAGGAACCAGTGATCATTCATACAGCTTAGAAAAAATACTTATTTAGAAAAGTGGAGTGTGGATGCTGACATTAGCATTAGAAACGTCTGTGCTGCTGCAACATGTTTTGATTGAGAGGCTATTTTAGGCTTGACCAGCTCTGCTTACAGGACAACAGTCTTTTCTAGTACCCCATCAGCATTTTGAAGCGTAAATTTACCTCCAGTGGCCAAGAGAAGAGGCTTTGCCATCCATTGCTGTCACTTGTGCATCACATTTATGGGCATACCAGAAACATGCAAATACAAAGGTTCCGGTTTGAGATTTGTGTTTGTAAAAAAGGGGAAAAAAGAAAAAAAAAAGATGTGATCTATGTGTGTGTTTCAAGAGGTTTTCAAAAAGTTAAAATTATGTTTTTTTATGTTTTGTAATAATCTAATATTGCATATCCAGGCAGCAAAACTACATTAACGAGTCTCAATACTATGGACTACCTATAGCAACCTTTCTCTAGGTAGGAGAAGAGCTCTTACAGTTATATGGAGATCTTTTCCCTGCAAAAATAAAAAAATAAATAAAAAAAATAAAACATAAATCTGATCATTCTGCAGTAGCAGCCCCAATAAGCGGACAGCTGTGGGCCCTCCACTTCGAGAGCTTAAAGAGTCCCAGCTGCTCGGCAGCCATATGAAATATCAGAAATCTGTTTGCAGACGTTGGCGTTGCCATCAATAGAAAAATAAAATTCTGAAATCAGCCCAACAGTAAACTGCTGTTATTCTCCACCTCGGGGTGTGCTTTTCAGGGGAAGATTACTTCAGCTTATCTGTGAGATGTGATATAAAGCCTTTAATGTCTCTGTCGAGCTTTAACCGTGTGAAGTCTGCTAAATGCTATCAACGAGTGTCAGTAAAGTCAGCACCAGTCCTAAAAAGCTCCAGGCTAAATAGTCTACAAAAAGATTCAAGGCCCCAATTTCTCCCGTTGCGTTTTGGGTGAGTGATATAGGGCTTAGATATCGGCAAGAGAGGCAATGCGATGAAGTAAAAAAAAAATAAATTAATAAAAAAAACTCTTGTTCAGTAGACCTGACTCTACTCCAGTAAAATTCTTCACTGCAAAGTGTGACAGTGCTGGAACAAACATTGTGCAAAAAAAGAATATAGTAGGGTACTGTTTGTTACTGAGTCCATACATGACAGATGTGGCTATTTTTAAGCTTTAGTATTTCTATTCATAACTTTCTAGAAAAGAAATATTTTATGTGAAGCACTGAATACACAAGCAGCCTCAGACTGCAGCTTTACAGGCTATTCTGTTGCTTAATCCTTTAATGTAAACTCATGAAACAAAAACACATGCCTGATGACTTTTGTGATGTTATGATTACATAAATAAATCATCACTTTTACAACATGCTGCAGTCCTCAAGTTTAGAACAGACCCTTGAAGCCGTTTCAGCAGAAATCTTTTGTTGTGACAAACTTAGAAAAAAGTCTCTGGTTGTGGGGGTAAATCAGTGGTCTGTGGTTATTCAGAGTGACAGACGCACCGATTGGCAATTTAGCACTCTTCAGAACAACGTTGAGCGATGAAAAAAATATTAAGCAGCGACAAACATCAAGCGGTGTCAGATATTTTGTGTGGAAATCATGCAGTGTGACTGATGTTTTTTGCCCAGCTATGAGATTTTCTGCACCGTCTCTTTTTCCTTGTCCTTCTCTCTCTTCTTGTAGCATCTATAAACACGTTTATATAAAAATCAAGGTTATATTTTAAGCAATCTCTGTTTCAGTTCAGGTCTGAAAAATTAAACCAAGTTAGATTTTGAATTAAAAAGACACAAATTGACACAAATCAAAAGCTCTGAAACTCATGCTAACTGTAGCAGCAATAGCTACTCTCAGGGCTGACAAACGTTTTGAGTGTCACTCAAAATGCTTTGTCCCTGTGCAATGAACCTAAAGCACGCCAAATATTTATGACAGCTTGGACATGGTTTGCTAAGCAACAGAGGTGCTTGTCATTTTTCACACCTTTTATAATGCTTTATCACAGACGAAAGCTGTGTACTGATTACACAACTTGTATAAAAAAACTCTGTGCCGATGATTCAAACTGAAGTATGATTAAGTCCTTTTAACAGTGAGGCTCATTTAGCGTTTAGCTTGTCATCAGTCCAAACAGCTGGGAAAGGAAGTTCAACTTCTCAACTTTAGTAGACACTGAAAAGTTGAAAACACAAAAAATCTTAATGGAATAGAGAAGGTTCAATAGAAATCTCGAGGTTACTACTACCTTGTGGTCCATTAGCAGACGACACTGCCAATATGTGTGCCAAGATCAACACGGCGTGTCACCTCATCTACTCAGGGCTGTGCAGTCAGAAGGAGCAGCTTGGTGTTTAACAAAGTGAATTTATGGTTCAAATCCTCCAGTCCAGACTCACCCTGGAGGCAGGAGTCCCCGCCATGGACTGAGGCGATGGATCTCTCACAGCACATCAGTGTGAGGGCATAAATTGCCACTGCAGGCCGTAACTGTGAGTAAAAACGTGCTCTCGGTCAACTTAATCTCTAAATAAACACTTAAGAAAATGCAGCTGGGACACTACTGTGTGAGCTGGGCTTTGCTGTACACACATTAAGCAGCTGACTGATCACTGAGTCAATAAACTGATGCTGTCACTGTGGACTGGATCAAACATGGAGGACAGATGGTGGAGGTGCATACTAATGAGCTGCAGATGTACATTATCTGCAGACAGGGACCGTGCAGCCATTATAATTCTTCCCGCAAGGAGACAGAAGTGAATCTTTTAATGATAATAGCAACTAAGAGAATCACTAATGTCATTAATTGTTGCTAGACAAGACACGTCTTCTGAGCTTTGTTTTTCCATTTAGTTTCCATTTCCCAGGACCAAAAGATGCAGAATTTTGAAGGTACACAATGTGATTTTCCACAGTTCCAACTGATTAAGGTTCCCTTTTATACTTTACACTAAGAAGGTGAAAAAAAAAAAGAATTGTCCTTTCCTTGAATATGACAAAAACTATTCAACAAAGTAATCAGTGATGATAATCTGGATTTCCTGCTTTCATTCGAAACATTGTTTGAACAATTAGTTTTAAAGTTGCATGTTTTCCCTGTGCATCGTTGGGTTTTCTCCTGGTACTCTAAAAACTGTTCAATTAACTGCTCTCTAAATTGTCCTGAAGTCTAAGTGTGCATATGGTTGCCTGTCCTGTGTGTCTATGTGTTTGCCTGTAATAGGCTGGTGTGTGCACATTACATTTTTGATCTAAAAATCTGGGCTCTCTAAACATTTTTCATCCTTCTTAAGGAAGTTCTGCACAAAAAGACTTCACTGTGGTTTTGCTCACATATCTCCATTATCACACTGTGGAAAAGGGAGCGACGCAGTTATTACATTCTACGATGTTCAAATCAAATTAAGTTCACGAAGCAGGAACATAACTTTTTCTGCAGATTTGTCTACACATTTAAACGTAACCTTATGGAGATATGCTATGAGAACTATTAACAACTCATATTAAGATAGATGTCTTTATTTTCCCACAGGGATAATCTTTTTCCACATGCCATTACAATCTGTGGATATAAATAACTTAGGCATCTCAGAAGTAGTAGAACATTACATACATACACATCAACATTAACATTTCCCAACATGTCCCACATAGACATCTAAAACATAACATTCATCCCTCCTTCTGTTTTTCTACCTCCCCTTTTGTATACTAGCACAAGAAAGCCAAGGAAATGAATGACTGCCACAGGATGGTAGCTGATAAACTCAGCTGAGGGGACAAAACTTTTCTTAAAATGTTTTTTTTT